AGGATGTTATTAGGTATCAGAGAGCAAAGCAGATGGTACTAAACTTGGACTTAGAAGTAGGAACAAAGCAAGTCTGAAATTGGGACAGGGAATTGGTTAGGCAAAAACGGTATTTAAGCTGAGGATCAAGGATTTAGGGGAGGTGCCATGGTGAAACTGAAGTAGGTAGGAGATAATTAGGAATTAGGGATACATAAGTAGGCTGTGACAGACTATGTAGCCGATAGCCTTCAGTTTTTTTAAATACTGAAAACTATTTAAAAGTACGTACAATTTCAGCATAATCTTCTCATTTCATCTGTAACCAAGGACCTGTTTCTCTGTTTTATAATCTGTTTTGGAGAAATTATAATTTTTCATGATTTTTCTGAAAATATTTGGTCACCTTTTCATACTTTTTTCATAATAAAAGTTTCTGTTTCTTGCATTAGAATAACTGTGGAGTAGTTTATTTTTTGTGCACACTTTGCTATTTATTTTCAAGATATTTCAGTAAGATTAAAAAAAAAACCCTCATGGGCATCTAGCTTCCTACCAAGATGGCTGCCTGAACAGGAGATAGACCACCCAACTTCCACCCTCAGGTTTGCAACCAGATCAAGTAACAAAGAAGAGCTGTAGTAAGTCATACCAAAACTACATTAAAAAGTCAGCCAGAAGCCTGAGGCAATAAGAAAGGGGATCTCTCCAGCCGAGTGAGTGCTAGCATGAAGACAGACAGATCATGTGTAGTCTGCAAGATTCTCTGTCAGAAGGTCGCAAGAGTGGTGGGCTTCCCTGAGGGAAAGAAGGTAGGGAATAAGCATTTATTTTTTTTTTTTAAGTTTTTGTTTTGTTTTGGTTTGGTTTTTTTTGGTGAGGCATTGAGATTAAGTGACTTGCCCAGGTCACTCAGCTAGTAAGTGTCAAGTGTCTGAGGCCAGATTTGAACTCAGGTCCTCTTGACAAGGCCAGAGCTCAATCCGCTATGCCACCTAGCTGCCCTGGGAATAAGCATTTATTAAGCACCTGCTATGTGCCAGGCACTGTGCTAAGAATTTTACAAATATTGTCTCATTTGATCCTCACAACAACACTATTCTGTTACTATCTCCAATTCACAGTTGAGGAAATGAGGCAGACAGAGGTTAAGTGATCACGCAGGATCATACAACTAGTATGTATCTGAGGTGGAATTTGAATTCGGGTCTTCCTGATTCCAGTCCCAGCATTCTATCCACTGTGACATCTAGCTGCCTATGAGAGGCATCAGGGTGATCAGAAAGAAGCAATTCAAGTACTCTGGAATCATATTTAAGATCACACAAGAGAAGGCAGCTTCTGCCGAAAACCAGAGATCTTTGATTATGATATTCCAGAAGACAGAAAAAGAGAGACGTACACCACCTAAAATAACTTATTGTGAAAAGTCAAGTATAATCCTAGAGGAAGAAAATGGACCTTAAATGGAACAGAAGATGTTCTGACGTTTCTAACAGGAAGACCAGAGTTGAATCAGAACACCGAAACAGAAATACGGGAGTCTAGGGAAACCTAGAAAGGTAAATTTATGCAAGTAATTGAAAAGAGCAAATATTCCATTGGTAGGAGAAGAAATAAATGTCTTTCCAGAACCTTAATGTGTCCATGAGGTACTGAATGAGTTAAGAAAAACATGACTTGGGGGTATATTGATTCTATTCTAAGAGGGGAAAAATAAGGGGGAGTAAAAGGAAATTTACTAGGGCAGAAAGGATTTGTTCTTTCTCATAAATGATGTGCATGAGAAAGTATACAAACACGGAGAGAAGCAGTGGAAAGCTGGGGCATCAGATGAACCTCACTCTTAACCGACCTGAGTAGAAGAGTAAACACACACAGAGTTTAATATAGAAATACATCAAACTCAGGCAGGGATGGGGAAGGAGAAGAGTTAAGATCAACAATACTGGGGAAGGAATAAGTCAATCTGTCAAATACTTTGTGGAAATATGCAAAATCTGGGGAAACTACATCATTCCACTGTTCTAATAGTCAATTAATTATGTGAGAAAAGGAAATAAAAAGTGAATTGTCATAACTTGCCTTTGATGAAGCCCTACTGGCTCTCCATGATCACTCTATTTTCAAGATAGTCAATAATCATCATTTATTACATCCTACAATTTTGCCAGGATTTTGGAAATCAAGCTCATTGGCCTCTAGTTTACAGACACCATAATCTTTCTTTGTGAATTGGGGCATTTTTTGCTTTTCCATTTCTGTGACACCCATTCCATTCTCTATAATCTTTCAAAGATCAGTCAGCAACCCAGCAATCCTGTTCCTTCAGGACTTTAGGACATAGTTCTTCATAGCTAGGTGATTTGAATTCAACCCAGACTGCTCCCTGTCAGTTCTAATTTTATTTTTCCCACCTGATTGCTCCTTTCTCTTTCTCCTACCACTGCCTAGCCTGAACTATTGCAATGACCTCTCCTAATTCTTCCTACAAACTTCTGCTAAATTGGTGTTTCCAATGCAGAGATCTCATCACACTCTTCTACTACTCAAGAACCTTCAGTGGTTCCCTATTACCTACTGAATAAAATCCAAATAAGGTTATTTTCAAGAGTCTTCACTATCTGGCTCCAAACTATCCTTTCTAGTTTTGTCAGACACTCTGCCCAAATTGGATTAATCACTTGCTATACCCTGCACTCATCCTGCAATTCCCTACCTCCAAAGCAAAGTCAAAATCAGTCTCCTCAACTTCTCTCTCCCTCCTCCACCCCAAGATCTGGTCTTGCCGCACCTTTGTTCATAACTCCTGGCTTGCATTGTCTTTAATCCCTCTAGGTAAACATAATCTTTACTGTCTCTGATTACTTTGTTTATAACGCTCCTATGTATTTATATTCTAATTTGTGTTATAGTTATTGTGCATCTTTTCTTCTTTCTCCTGCTAGATTATAAATTGAAGGGCCTGGAAGGAGTCCTGTTTGTCTTTATAAACCCTCTAGCATAGCACTTAGTATATAATAATCACTTCATAAATTTTATAGAATTGTTCAATTGAAGTGTTTCCCATTTCCAGCTACTGCCTTAAAAAAAATTGAGCCTTGCAATTTATACTATTAGCTAGCTACCTACAACTTAACAACAAAATTGATTCCCATTCCACATTGTGTTACAACAACTAATGGTGATTGAAAAAAACATTAAAATCCAAATACTCCAGCAACCTAGGGAGAGAAAGAAAGGGAGAGGGAGAGGGAGAAAGTTAGCTTATGAAAAATTAGGTTGATCATGGAGATATTCAGAACTTATATTTGGCGTTTGTTCAACACAGATTTGGATAATATGCATGAAATATATACTAGAGGGGAAGTGGTAGGTTCTTCTTGCCTTGGTTAGACTTAGCTAATGATGATAAATTTTAAAATGTGTTTTGGCTACCACACATTACCCATTCCATGCCAAAGTGGTAAATACTACAGCCGCCTATTAAAAAAAATTAAAAATAGTCCACAATCCAAAGTTGCCTCAGCTAAAGTGCTAAGAATCACAATTTTTTTTTGATCATGTACAGGTGTTCGCCTAATTCATATTTTTCCTCAGGTGCTTGATCTAAATGTGTAATCTTTGTCCAGAGACAAAGGTGTTACTAAAACAACTGAATCATATTCATATTAGCATTTTCACTATAAATGAAACAAGTAACTGGAAAAGGAGAGGGGGCAGGTTGTGTAGTGAGAGGGATGATAGAGTCTAACAGTTCATGTCCATATGTGTATGATATTGCCGCTGCCTCAGTTACTGCAGGGCTGGGTCCTGAAGGTAACTCCTTGAGTGTTGATTCTGGGCTGGTTGTAAAGTCCATCATGTAAAAAAAATTAATTCCTGGATGGCTCACATTCCTGACCCTTCAAAACTCACAAGGTCACAGCCTCTAATCCCTTCATCTAAATCTAAAGAAAAAATATTGAGCAGGCAAAGAATCGATGCCAAATTCATGGGGGCACATTTGGTCTTGGAAGGAGAGGGCCCAAAGCCTCTCCCCTTATAGGATTTCCTCTCCCCAGATCATCAAGGGAGCCAAACCAAGAGCTGAGATCTGCAGAGAGAGAGGTTAAGGCTGGTTAGGGCCAGTCCCAATTCTGCAACTGCAGCCAATCAAAAAGGCTGCTGTCCACCACAAGGTCAGCAGAACAGGTACCAATTACAGAACGTCTGTAAGTATCCTCAAATATCTTCAAGGTACTTCCATTACACCTCATTTATCATCAATGACTCTCCATTAAGTAGGCTCCCCAGCTTCTTTAACAGGTGAGTATCTGTAAATCATCTTGATTAGAATCCCACCCATAGTAGTCATTCTTTTGGGGTTTTAAGATCTCGAAGAGTACCCTATTGAAATGTAAATACAATGAGGTCTGAGTGTAACATTATATGTGTAACATTTTTACAAGAAGTGGGGAGGGGGATCTTAGGATTATAGATTTGGAGCTGGAAGAGAGACCTTAGAAGCCGTCTAGGCCAGCACCTTGGTTTCTTCGTTTTACAGATGAGGAAACTGAGGCCTAGCTAGGTTGAGTAACTTGCCCGGGGTCACACAGCAACAGAATGGATTTGAAGCCAAATTCTCTGACCCGAGATCCAGACCTTTTTCCACCACACTGTTGCCCACCTGAGAGATGTTGAGGGTGAGAGTGGAGGAGGACAGATAGAAATGTTGCCTAATTCACTACCTTTCCTGATGGGTTCTCAGGTCAAGCTTGTCCTAAAAGTTGTATTACCGGCGCTTTGCAAGGTCAGCCCAGGAGCAGGTGAGCACGGAGACTGGGGATCGATTGCTCCCTGAGCAGGTACGTTATTGCCCCGCTCTCCTGTGCAGGATGACGCCTTGGCTTTGCTCCAAGCCCCTATCAGGCATCACCTCGTCGGATTCCTCCCCACAGCCACACGGGGGCGCTGTGGGGCAAGCTAAGCGGCCAGGCTTGGGGCTCGTCTGTCGCGGCCACAGCCGCAGCCGCCTCGAAGAGAAGCTGAGCAGGTGAACTGGGGGCGAGCCCGACGTTTGTATAGGGGGGAGAGGGGGAGACGGGCGCGCTCTCGTCTGGGTTGGAAGGTGGGGCGGGGGCGGAGGAGAACCAGGCGAGGGTCGCGCCTCCAAAGGGAGACTGGGAGGCTGCAGAACTCGGTCTCCATGGCAACGGGAAACAGTCCGCAGGCACGCTACCTAGAGCTGCTGCGGGGGTCGTCCAGCGCCGGAGGCTTCGTCGCTTTCAAGCCCCAGACATAGCGTCGCCCAGATTGATGGGAAACCTCGGGTTGTCCATCCAGCAGTTTCCTTCCGGGGGTGGGGGTGGGGGATTCCAAAGAAAATAGTGACTTCCAAGCTGACACGGATTCCCCCAGGGAAGATTCCCTCTGAAAGCTTTTGAAGCATCATGGGTGGGGTTGAGGTGTGTTTGTGGGGGTTACTCCTGGGCTCAGTATCTGTGAACCTGAGCGTTGCTCCTGGGTAGCAGAGCCAGGGCACTAGGAACCACACACACACACACACACACACACACAGAGCACACAGGTAGCTCACATCCACAAATATGATTGTTTAGAAGAATGCAGGAGAACAATAAAAATACTAAAATATCAACCCCAGTTCTGTCTCTGTGTGTGTGTGTGTGTGTGTGTGTGTGTATATGTTGTTCAGTTGTTTAAGTCATATCTGATTCTTCCTGACCCCACTTGGGGTTTTCTGGACAAAGATACTGAAGTGGTTTGTCATTTCCTTCTCCATTTTGTTTTACAGCTGAGGATCTGAGGCAAACATTGTTTAGTGACTTGCCCAGGGTCACACAGCTAGTAAGTGTCTGAGGTCAGATTTGAGTTCAAGATGAGTCTTCCTGACTTTAGACCTGGCACTCCATCCACTGCATCAACTAGCTGCTATGTGTGTATATATAGTAGCAATACCATATTTCACCACATAATTGTTGCAGATTTTATGGCAAATTTTTTTTTGCAAAAAAGTGGGGTGTGACCATTATGTGTTATTTTTTTAATTGTGCCAGTATTACCTAAAAATAATTTATTACCAAACTGTCTTTGGTGTAAGATTAAGATGCATGGAATATTCGTGAATATACATTAACATTGAATATTGACAATGTGTGTGCACTGAGAATTGGGGCTTGCAATGCTCAAGAGATAAATGCATATCCTATGCCACTGGTGAATATATTGCTGCTCTGTTTACCTTTTAAGTGGCATGAAGAACAGAATCATATCATTTGAACACAATGCAATGAAAGGTTATGAACCAATCTTTGAACTGAAAACAAAACAAAACAAAACTGGGGTGCGACGATTATGTGGTAAAATGGGGTAATTATTGGGAGAATCATCAAGCTAAGGAAGTCTGTCTTATAGAAACCTTAAAAGGCAGCTAGGTCACTCAGTAGAGCATGAGCCTGGAGTCATGAAGACCTGAGTTTGAATATGATCTCAGACACTTACTAGCTGTGCGACCCTGGGCAAATCACTTAACCTGTTTTCCTTAATCCGCTGGAGAAGGTAATGACAAGTCACCCCAATATTTTTGCTAAGAAAACCCCCAAAAGAGTCATCGAGTCAGACTAAACACATCTGAACAACAGTGAAGAAAGCTTCTCCCAGCCTGACTCTCCCTTTTTGATAAATGGCTTAACTATCCTGCACTGATATATGTACATATGTGTGTGTGTATATGTGTGAAATATATCTATCAATCAGTAAATATTTATTAAGCATCTACTATGTGCCAAACACTTTTGTAAGCCTTGGGAATACAAAAAGAGGCAATACATACACGTGTGTGTGTGTGTGTGTGTGTGTGTGTGTAAGCTTATGTAGCTAATTTTCTTTATGGAAGTAAGTTTTCATTTCCATAAAGAAACTTAAATATCAGGCTGCAATTCAACTTTGGAAGGAAAGACATTTTAGCAAAATGAATCTGTTTTTAGGTATGGTGTAGCCAGGCCAGTTATCAGAGAGTCTTAGGCTGGGAGAGTTTTTCTTCCCTGAGTTTCCCATAAAATAGACTTCCTCAGTTTGCTTGCTAATGGTTCGCGGGAGGATTATTGCTACAAGCTTATTAATCATCTAATTTCCTAATCACTATAAAACATGTATGAATTATTTTTAAGATCTTTTCATTCCAGACATTTTTCTACACCAGAAACCATGGATAAATATGATGTAATTAAAATGATTGGGGAAGGAGCCTTTGGGAGAGCATTCTTAGCAAAAGGAAAGATGGACAACCAGCAATGTGTTATAAAGGAAATCAATTTAACAAAGGTAAATTTATAAAGTAAAACACTTTTAATTTATATGCTGACATTGACAATATTTGGTAATGTAGTATCAAAAAAAATTTAATCATGTATTTCAACCATTAACTGAGAAATATAACTGTATAACATGTGCTTTACATGCCATAATCATTTTGGAGCAAACCCACCTGTGTGTGCATATACACACATACACACATATACACATATATACTCATTACATATATTCATTAAATAGGACTTATTGTCAATGAGTTCATTGTGGTCAGAGTTTACATATTGGAAACATAGTATATGCTTTTCAAAGTGCTCTGGCGTGTCATTATGACAGTATAGGATTCCTTACCATATAATGGTATTCGCAGAATCACAAAAGGTCAGAATTAGAACGTACCTTAGAGAGCAGCTAGCCGAACCCAGACTCCTCTGTACAATACTTCTAAGAAAAAATCCTCTGTTCTTCACTCAAATATCTTAAGTGAACGAAAACCCACTGATGAGTCAGTCAATGTGTATTTATTAAGTACTTAGTATGGGCTTGGTGCTGTGCTAAGACTTGGGGATGCAAAGAAAGGTTAAAATAGTCTCCGCCCTGGAGGAGCTCACATTCTAATGAGGGAGAGAACATATGGATGTTGAGTAGGTAGAGTAGATGGAAGGTGATCTCAGAGACAAACACCTCCTGCAGAAGATGGGATTTGAGCTGTCTTGAAAGAAACCTGTGAAACTAAGAGGTGGAAGTGAGGAGTGAAAGTATTCTATATCTGAAGGACAGCCAATGTATAGGCACAGAGATGAGTGTGTGAGGAACAGCAGATAGGCCAGTATCTGGATCAAAGAAACATGGAGGGAAGGTTAAGACTGGAGAGGTAGGAAAGGGTCAGGTTATAAAGAACTTTAAACGCTAAGCAGAGGTTTCTATATTTAATCCAGGAAGTAACAGGGAACCACTGGAGCTCACTGAGTGGGGGAGGGGCAGGGTGACATGGGCAGACCTTTTTTTTTAATAGTATTTTATTTTTTTCCAAATTACATATAAAGACAATTTTTAACATTCTTTTATAAAATTTTGAGTTCCAAATTTACTCCTTCCTTCCTTTCCCTCCTCCCTCCCAAAGATAGTAATTTGATATAAGTTGTACATGTGCAGTCATGTAGAACCTATTTCCATTCTAGTCGTGTTGTGAAGGAAGAAACAGTTTGCAGAGGGAAAAAAAACCCACAAAAAATAAAGAAAGTGAAAATAATATGCTTCAATCTGTATTCAGACTCCATCAATTCTTTCTTTGGATGTGGGTAGCATTTTCCACAAGTGTTTTAGAATTGGGCAGCCTTTTTTTTTTTTTTTAAGGAAAATCACTTTGGCAATTGAGTGGCAGTTGGATTGGAGTAGGGAGAGATGTTAAAAAGGGAGACTAATTAGTTTGTTGTTGTTGTTTTCAGTCATGTCTGACTCTTCATGACCCTATATGGGGTTTTCCTGGCAAATATACTAGCGTGGCTTGCCATTTCCTTCTCCAGCTAATTTTACAGATAAGGAAACTGAGGCAAACAGGATTAAGTGGCTTGCCCAGGGTCATACAGCTAGTAAGTGTTTGAGGCCATATTTGAACTCAGGAAGATAAGTCTCCTGACTTCAGGCCTGGCACTCTAGTCACTGCACCAAATAGCTACCCAATTTGTAGGTTATTGCAGTATTCCAGGTGAGAGATAATAAGGGCCTGAACTAACGTAATGGCTGTGGGGGTGCAGAGAAGGGGGATATATATATATATATATGTATGTAGGTACGTATGTATGTATGTTGTAAAGGTAGAAGTGACAAAATTTGGCAATGGGTTGGATATGTTAGATGAGTTAGAGTGAGAAGTCAAAGATGACACCTAGTTATGAGTCTAGGTAACTTTGAGGATCGTGGTGCCCTAGACAGTAATAGGGAGATTGGAAGATGGGAAGATTTAGGTAGAGAAAGAAAAGTTCTGTTTTGGGCATGTTGAGTTTGAGATGCCTATGGGATGTCTAGTTACAGCTGTCCAAAAAGTAATTGGTGACGTGAGACTTGAGAATCAAGAGAGACATCTTCACAGAAATAATGGAACCCATGACAACTGATGGGATCACCAAGGCAGCTGATTATATTTTTGGATAGCTTTGTTAGGAAGTCTTTCCCTATATTCAACTTAAAATTTTCTCTCTGACGTCTTTACTTGGTTACTAGTTCTGTCTTCGGAGGTCACGCAAGACTTTATTTAATCTCTTTCCTGAATGGTAACCCTTTATATACTTGATGATACCTATTCTGTTCTCCCTGAGTCTTCAGTTCTCCAGGCTAAACATCCTCACTTCCTTTATTCAACTTATTCCAACATTTGAGCCTATTAAAATCATTTTGGATACTAATCCTGTCATTCAGGATGTTAACTATCCATCTCTAACTCTGTGTCATCTTCAGATTTGATAAGCATGCCATCTATGTCTTCATCTAAATCGTTAATAAAAATAATGAATAGCATATGACTGAGGACAGCTCCCTGGAGGGACTCTCCTAGAAATTTTACATTGTTTCCGATGAACCATTTTTTTTTGCATACTCTTTGGGTTCAGTTATTCAATTCAGAATTCACTCAACTGTACTACCATTGCACCAGATGTCTTCTTATCCACAGTAATAGTATGAGAAATTTTGCTAAATGCCTGCTAGAAGTCCAGGTTAAACCATATGTACAATATTCCCCTGAGCTATCAGCTTAGGAACTGTGAAAAGCGAAAATGAGGAGTCTGACATGATCATTTCCTTGGGTTTTTTTTCCCACAGTTTAATATAATTGGATTCTTCCATGTGAATTATTTTTTAAGCATTTTTCTTATCTTTTATCTTTAAATCACTTTAATTTCCTAAAACATACTTCCCTCCCTCCCCTACCCATTGAGCCATCCCTTGTAACAAAAAATAAAAAAGGAAAGTAGCTTATCAAAACTGACCAACACACAACTGACCTGTTCTTGTTTGACATCACAGCTTCCTTTTCAAGATGTTCACACACAATTTTTAAAGTAATACTTACAAGGGCTTTGTCAAAATTTTGAGTCAAGCTTATCAGCTTATTGTGTGCCAATTCCACTATCTTCCTTTTTTTCTTAGAAAATTGGTATAACATTTTTCCTTCTTTTTTTCCTGAGGCACCTTCTGGCCAGCTCTTCCAGTGCCCTGGGCCTGATTAGCTGAACTCATCCTGGGAAGCTAAGTGCTCTCATTATTTACTTAATTATCTTGGGTTTCAATTTTAATTATTTTGTTGAATAGAATTGAATTTCATATTAACCATTTCTTTTTGTTTGGTCCTTTTGAATCCAAACACCATTCTCCTTGGGCCGGAAAAATAAAAGCTGAGTTGAGGTAATTTTCCCTTATCTATATCATCTGTTGTCACTGCCCCACTTACCCTAAGCATCAATCTTTTCCTGCATTTGTGCCCTTGAGCCCTATACCCTTCCATGTTTCCAGTTCTTTGCCACTACAAAAATGTAGCCATAAATATTTTTGCACATATTGGCCTTTTCCATCTTTCTTTGATCTCTTTGGGGTATATTTCTCTTGATCCCATCCATCCATCTATCTATCTATCTATCTATCTATCTATCTATCTATCTATCATCTGTCTGTCTGTCTGTCAATCTAGCTATCTGTCTGTGTATCCTCTATCTATGATCTATCTCTGTTTCTATTTATCTATCATCTATCTATCTATATCTCTGTCTCTATCTAGATCTATCTCTATTTATCTCTATCTGTATCTATCCATCTCTATTTATATCTATCTATGTATATATACTCTCTTTTCTGAATTCCAATCATTATCAGCTGCCTCCAGGACACCTTCCCTTGGATGCTCTATAGGCATCTGGACAAGCATAAAGCACCTTGCCTCCTAAGCCATGTCATTTCTATCCCCGCAACATCTTTCTCATCCATCTGTTTACTCACTTGGCCATCACCCTAGTTTAGGTCCTTATCATTTCTCACCTGGATGATGGCCATGATATCTTAATTGAACTCCCACCTTCCAGTGTCTCTCTTCTTCACTCCAGCCTCTGAGTAGCTGCCAAAGTAATCCTCCAAAAGTATAGGTCTAACTGTACAACTCTCCTGCTCAGAAATCTTCAGTGCTTCCTTATTTAAGCTTCTAGGATAAAATGCAAACCTGGCATTTAAAGTCCTTCATAAGCTTACCTTTTGAGACATATCTCATGTGATTCCTTTTCATATGCCCCTACATTCCAGCCAAATTGGCTTACTTGCTAATCTTCAAATTTAGCATTCGATTTCCTTCTTCCATGTTTTGATTCAGGTGGTCCTCTCTGCATGTAATGCACTCCCTTCACCTCTAACTTCTTTTGAGGCTCATTTCACATAGCAATCCCAGTACCCTTTGGGAAGCCTTTCTTGATCCCCTTAGTTAGTGCTCAATCCAACAACCGATTATCAAGTATTAACTCACCTTCTTATTTGTTTGGATACCTAAGATCCAAACCTAAAATGTAATCTATTTTAGGGCAGGGATAATTTCTGCAAATAATATGTCCATATAAATGTTTGTTCAATTGAATTGGATTAAATTCTCCAATATCCTCCTAATATAGCTTAAAAAATATTCCTTTTTGGTTGTCCTCAGTGTTCATTACCATTCTTAGCTCATTCTAATCTTCTGACTCTTCATTGGACATAAAAGTAATTTTTATTGAGATTATATGTATATATATATATATATATATATATATATATATATATATATATAGAGTTAGGTTTTTTTTGGTGAAGCAGTTGGGGTTAAGTGATTTGCCCAGGGTCACACAGCTAGTAAGTGTCAAGTGTCCAAGAGGCTGGATTTGAACTCAGGTCCTCCTGACTCCAAGGCCACAGCTCTATCCACTGCACCACCTACCTGCCTGATATATTTTGTTTTTACATCTCCTACATTTCCCAGTGTATCTTTCCCTTCCTCTTTC